GGTTAATAAAATATTTTAAATTCAGATCCTGGAATCCATTCAGGCGGAGACGAGAGCCGTAAGGGATAGTTATCGCAAGGAATGATCTTTGCCAAAGTTGCACGGTTTTGGGACTACTCCATGCGTTCACGAAAGCCCTGTGGGCCAATGAATGGTATGAGTAAAATGGAGTATATACTTCAAAGTGAAAGAATAAACATTCTGAGTTGGATTTCGACCAGATAATCACGTCCGAGAATGTTACGAGAATTGAAGTTAAAAGGCAAACGCCAGAATATACTCAAATTTGTTATGAATAGAAGAGTAGTTTTCCATTACGCGTACACTAATATCACTGGTCTACAAAAAAAGACGTTTCTGTAACAAGAGCTAAACACACTACTTCTGGAAGATGATTTGCCTCTCTATTCAAATGTAATTTCAGAATTTCTGCACTGACCTCAGTTTCCATAAGATGTGTTTTGTAATTTCGTACGTCTCCCTACGTATTATAATATGTACTATCTAGCAAAACGATACGCTCTATTAACAATAGATCCATATGTTTACAGTATAAAATACAACAAAGTAAGTGTTAAGTGAAGAGGCGGCTTGGAATGTTTTGTTGGAGGCTTGCAATGTTGGTTCAGCATTGATATCTCCTTCTCCTGTCTTCTGAATGTCCGTCACTGTAGCGTTTATCTTCATTCACACTCATGTGTGCCGGAGGTAGAGGGTAGTGATACCGGCAATTCTTCACTGTGACACGGGCCTTATAGCAGATGGTAAATTAAGATATTGTAGTTTTCTTAGTTTTTGAGGTGATTACAGCAATTTGTGACAGACAGAAATAAGTCTTGTGTGATCCGTTGGTTCCCACCAAATCATGGTAACAGGAAAGGACATGTGTCGAGAACCCTTTAACTATCCTGTCAGGAGTATCACAACATTCAGCATGGAAGTGCGCTTACCTTACACACGAAATGACATATCACTTCCTTACCAGAGGATTAAGGTACACATTTTCGATTTCAGTGTTCCACGGATATAAAATCACTTATCCGAGTTACAGTTCTCCACGGATATACAACACGTATTTGAGCTTATTACACAGTTACAAGGCATTTCTTGTTCTGAATTAATACAAAGCGCAAACCTTCATCAACCTATAACAGTCATCTTCAATCCGCTTTCCACGAAGACGTAGATATCTCAATGCTGGGTTGCAGCTGGCAAGAAACACAACGTGGTTCCACCTGTTCGAGTATGACTTATCAACAATGTTGCCAACCCATTTTCATTTCCTAAAGGTGAATTTTCTGAATTCAGTTTCATGTATAGAAATTCACAATACAAATCGATTGTTCCTGAACAATTACATCTGCAGAAGTGTTAAACGAAGCTACACCAAATTAATCAACATTCAGTATTTTCAAGTGTTTCCGTAAATAGAGAGCAGGGTGTAACAAGAAAACTCAGCGCGATAGACAAAAACTGATTTCATATTCAAATTCAGTATCGAAGTCTTAGCTAAGAACGCCATTGACATTCTTTGTTACAAAAATGCTGTTGACCAGTGTATTCTTCTGGGCAAGCTTTATTTAGGCACAGCCCTGTTCAGAGTGATACGAGGTTTTATGTGCGTACTTTGTGCGGTTAGTGTTTCTAACTCCGCAAACAGAGAAATGTTTGTTAAAAAAGTGAGAAAGAAGGTACATCCCTAAGAAAAGGCACACGGTTTGAATTTTTATACAACTTGAGGCCTTTAAGTAGCTTAATTATGGCCAACGAACAAATAATTACTCCCAAAAACATTAAATTTTAGACATACCGCCAACTGCAATATATATTAGTGTATTTTGGCAATGACGCCTGAATTATGTGACGAATTTAGAGTGTTATTTAGATAAATTTTAAATTGATACTAGCTACTACTTCATTTACTTTTAATACCTTAATTTATGTAGGTTTAGTGTCATATAACTAAGTTATATTTCATTCATTGGTTCCTTTATAAGATTAGAACTCTTTATTACTGATATTTGTGGTGTATCGCGTGTAGGAGTTTCAGTTGCCATTCTAACGTACATTTATCTAGTTTTGAGTGTTAGTGTATATTTATTTTTTATTTATTTGTTTTATTTTCTTTTTTTTAATTATTTTTAAATGTCGAGGCTAAAGCAATGCAAATACGTATAGGTTATATAAAGAATTATGAAGATGTATGTCTGGAAGTAAGAAGTAAGTGTGGATTGTAAGTTTAGTACACCCCCATATATAAGACTAACCCATTATAAAAGCATTAAATTGATATATCATATTATATCAATAATATTACATAATATATTATATCAATAATATTACACAATATATTATATAATATTATTACACAATATATTATATAATATTATTACATAATATATTATATTGTTTTTTCCTATTTCAGATATTGGGTTTCAATAGTGAATGATGAAAACCAATCTATTAATTCAGTCCGAATGAGAGAAAAAAGTCATGCAAAACTGTGCAAGCATGCTCTACCTGACAAAAGTGAATCACTCATGAGGAGTGGTTGGAAGAGAATGAAACTACATATACTGGAAGACCATGTGACTTTTTTAAGCGATTAAAAAAAAGGGATTAAAGAGAGACGGCCGTTTTCTGTCAAGTTGAAAGTGGACCCCAGGTGAGTAGGGTGTCGCACCTCCTCTGGCTGCAATGTATGTCCTTATGCGGTTTGGAATGGAGTCAAACAGCCTTTGCTCCTCTCGAGGCACGTTCGTCCAGAGTTGTTGAGACTGTTCCTCCAGATACTGCAGGTTTGTACAAAGGAGTCCCCTTCCTATGTCATATCACACGTGTTCAATGATTGGCAGGCTAGGGGGATCTCGCTGGCCACAGGGGGATCTAAACATGCTCTAAGTTGTCCATACACACGTACGATGTATGGGCATGAGTTATCGCGTCACTCAGGGTGCTGTGCCATAAAGACTAGGACGTGCGGACACAATGTCTGTGGCGTATCGCTGTGCCGTCAAAGTCTTAAGCAGTTAGTGGCGATTTGAACTATCATCAGATGGCTCCCCATACTAAGGAGCCCGGGTTACACCTATCTCTCTCCCTCCAATATGGGCACGGTAGGCCCTCTGTCCTTAACGCTGCCACACTAACACGATGTTCATCGGAGGTTATGGCGAAGCGGAACTCATCATTGGACATCACGCGACGCCATTCGTCTTCTGTCCATGCCTCCCGGGCACAGCACTAACCCAAACACCGACGTCGGCATTTGGTGTCAATGGCAACCAACGCATGGGGCGGTGGAATTCCAATTAAGTGGATACTAGTCGTCGAGTCACTGTGTGGGAACTCCCAGGATATTGTAGAGTATCCTGTTCATATGTAAACGTTAATGAGGCTGGTAGGTCCTATCGTGCAATTAACAGGCATGTGGGCAATTCAGATGTCACAGTGGCCCGATGTAGGAATAAATAGGTACAGATAACCGAAAATTTATCCTGTTCATGTTCGTGGAAGGCGGGTAACGATGTCTTGGGATTCCGCCCTCCTTGACGTACCATACGACGGTCTTCCTCTAGCTGGCGGTCCGTGGTCGACCCGAGCCTGCACAACGTGCATGAGTGCCCTCGTGTACCTATTGATTCCAACATCGGGCCACTATGACATCTGAATGGCCCACATGCCTGTTAATTGCACGATAGGACCTACCAGCCTCATGAAGTTCCACAATGTCAAATGCAGCCAATTGGTGGAGAAGCTGTCGAGCGCATCTGCGAGGCACCGCAGGCGTTTCGTATTGCACGAAACTTTCTTCATTGTCTGACTAAGCGCTTCACTGATAACTGCGCAACAATAGGATGGTCACATCACGAATGCACAGGTGGGCGTTCTACACATTACAAATCGCTAAGGATCTTAATCATTTACTCGCACACCAATGGCGGTAATTTATACCGAAAATGGTAATATTGGACCACTCCTTGTGAGTGCAAACACTGTCAGGCAGTATGTATGTATGAACGATATGATTATGAGTGGGTTTAAGACTTTTTGGATTTTCTTGTTGTTTGTTTTACTTCTCTATCATATAATAGCTTAGTATTTTAGTCTTTAGTATTCTGTTACTATGAATATCATTATTACAACTTTTTAATGGTTGAAAATAATAATATGTACGTGATAAAACAGACGTCCGCACAGGAAATTCTTCAACAGCTAGTTTCTATTTGTATACACAAGTCTGTTAATAAAATTTAAAATGTATTTATACAGTATGCCTGGCAAGGAGTTTAGGAGTGCAGATTTTTAGTTGGCATAAATATCTCGTTGAGATTTGGCCTTGTGTATTTGACGGCTGCCATCGAAACTCCAGCAATGTACGATGACGTGCCCCACGAATCCAGCCTCCAGCAAAGGCTCTTTGACGATGTGTTCTACGTCATTACTACAATTCCGTGAATGAAAATGTTTAAAATTCAAATGTATTAAATAGAACGAAACAGAAGAATTTTACAGAGGCAAAATTACGTAGCGACATATCAGAAGATATTTTTTGGTTTGGAAGACTGAAATGATTGGAACGTGTAATGATAGGCAGGAATGTTTAAGTATATACTAAGAGTTCTGTTGCGGTCAAGGTCTGTTGCGGTCTTCTGCACTAAACACTGTACTGTAGCATTACTCAGCATGACAGTCCTCGTCAGAGATACGAGATTCCACAACCACATAACGAGGCAGTAGCACATAACATTGCTACACATCATCTCCTTCAGTTACTTTAAACGAATTAGTCAAGCCTTAAACACGGACTGTTGGCTAACTTTTAATAGTCGGTAAAACAAGTGACGAATGTTTAAGAATTGGTTAACTCAGCAGATAGCGAGCATATACCTTTCTGAGGTCTGTCATGCTGCAATAATCCTACTGTAACCCATTTATTTTCGCTCCTCCAATAAAACACACTTCATTTTTCATTTAAATAGATATATTTCAATGAAATGGTACATTTTTAACATCTAGGAATGTGTGCACATCTTTACAGTCGTGTACCGCCAGCTGCGAGGGCTGCGCGGGCCGTGCGGCCTCCACTCGCACCGAGGCAGCTCCATTGGCCGCGCACATCGTAGCTGGAGGCGAATGGAACATGCAGAGAAGTATACACATTGCGAAATTTTTTTAACAGTCTATAAATCGCCCTCCCCTGTTGAGTATTAGTCTTACAAAGATTGAAGTGTCTTCGCCACTAGAACTCACATTCCAAACTGAGCACTGAGGATTATGCACACTTCAGAGAGTACTTCAGCTTCGTAAGGATTCAGCGAACTTCTCGCGCAGGAAAGGCACGACAAAGCTTATCGAACGCTATATGTGAAATTCCTATCACGACAGAGATCGTGTGGCTTGGTACCTGCAGCAAACTGCAACAAATAAGTATTCGGACAAGAATGTAAACCCTGATCAAAAATGCTCGGCGGTCAACGCATTCTCCATTCAAAAATGAACGTTTCACACCTCATATGATTTGAACTTTAAATTGTCTATTTTTTCGAGGTAGAAACTGTTAGCTTTGTTCGTGCGTTTCCTGCATTTACATTAATTTCTTTAATGAAGTAATAGTCACTTTGACATCGAAGATGAACAACTGGACCCTCCTCGAACAACAGAACCGTTTGCTGCAAGTTCTCTTTTTAACTTTGGTGGGAAGATGGAATCTTACATATTTTAGAGGAGAGGGAAGTGAAAAGTAGTTTATGTATATGACAGTTTCCTTACTTATATTACACTAAAATAATGTATACCACTTGTGTTACTGGTAACTTCGAAGTAACTGAATGCGAAGTAAAATATTTTACAATACAACTATTTCACAAAACAAACATTCAAGCAAAAACCTAAAAACAAAATTCAGTGTAGATAAAAAAAAATTGTTCTACACTTGGGACAGTCAATGCCCTTAGGAAACTATAATAGGCTTCACCTCATGAATATTTTAAAAATTTTAATACAACATATTTTCAAAAATATACAATTAGAAAGTTCAGAATTTTTATTAACGTGTAACGTAAACGGTTTAAGAAATTAATAGTAATCATTTCGAACATGTTTAGAAAATATTCTAAATAGTATATATTATACGGTATCTAAGATTCATGAGGAAAAAGCCAAATTTAAGAACATCGTTGACTCTTGCTTTCACACAAAGTAAATAATTTTTCACAAACAAAAATCCATTACTGCCACACAGAACAACAGAACAGCAATGCTTCTAACCCAAAATGTACAACAAAATTGAAATCGACAATGGCGTGCTAGGTTGAACGACGATCCACGGCGATGCGAAAGGATTTGAACCGCGCGCAACTGCTCCTCGCTGCCGGCGCGTTGCGGGCCGTTACCCCCGCCCCCGCCCTGCACCCCCAGCGGGGGCTCGACCTGGATCCTCGCCACGAGCCGAGCGGAGCGGACGGTCCGGGTACATCGCACGCTCCCACGCCAACGCGCTCACAAGGGCGCCCACTACAATGCGGGTCTTCACTACATCTTTAGGGGGTCACTTCACATAATACTGAATTCGTAATACTTACAATTTATACATCAAAAGAAAGGGGACAGAACAGAGCTTGCGTGACCCGAACGCCAGGTGGTTTCCTCGGCACGGGGGCCGCCGGAGCGCGCGCGGCGTCGTGCGGGCTGCGGCCGAGGAAGGCGTGGCGCGGGCGTGGGCGTGGGCGTGGGCGTGGGTGAGAGGGAGGACGGCGGAGGCTCACGGAAGCACCACCACCCCACAACGAGAAGACCGCGGTGGAGCGGTGAGCTGGGCCGAGGCTGCGTGGGCGTGGGCGGGGACGTGGGCGTGGTGGGCGGGGCCTCAGGGGCGCCGCGCCTTGTACAGCATCTGCGCGGCCGCCGCCGCCACCCCCGCGCCGGCCGCCACCGGCAGCAGCGCCACCAGCAGCGCCGGGAGCGCCACCAGCAGCAGGCGCGGCTGCGCCCACGAGCCCCCGCCCCCGGGCGTCCGCGACGCCAGGCTCATCGCCTGGCACGTGTCCGCGCCCACCGTCACCTGCTGGCACTGCTCCTGCAACAGCACCGCACACCGCCACTCGTACATGCGTTCGGGGCCACCTTTGATTCCGAGGAGCGGAGGTTGGGAGAAGACGAGAAGCGGGCACACGTCGAATTACGCTATTTGGATTAAAGTTACATTTGTTCAGGTTACCGCCTTTTACTTTCCCTGAAGCTAAACAATATCGGAATCGTTTTTGCCTCCGTTTCCTCCTATGCGTAGTCTTTATCCTCAACTAAATTCAAAAACTCCAATGCATACTCTGAAGGAACTTCAGAGCGTATACTATAATAGTCTACTGTTACTGGAAAATAATCTCGGAACTTAACGAGTAAGAATCTGATCTAAGTAATCCGACAATGCGTCCCGTCCCGTTCATTAGCAGAAATCTTTCAAATCAACAGTTTTCTCTAACGCTCCTCCCATTCTTAGTGCTACGATTCCAATTGACAAAATTGTCAGAAGTGACTGTTTAAACTCAGGTTTATCTACGAAAAGTGTCTGGAGCAGACCGCTGACCCTGGTGACTGCTTAAAAGAGGGAATATTTCAACGTGCCTTTCGGAAAGATCAGTTACACGAAAAATTTACCACTAACAGACGTGACCGCTAAAGCAGGGAATCATTTACGCAGATATCACTGTAGATTATATATAATGCATTTAGGTGGTTGGAGTGTAAGTCCCACGTTGTGCAAGTCCGAGACTTTTCCAGCTTTAAGCAGCATTTGGTCAAAATTAGATAGGCGTCAGATGTCCCCCGAGTTTGCACTAACATTTTCTAAAATGTTTCATCTAGCATGCTGCAAGTGCGATTATTTTTTTTCGTCGCAAGGAAGACCATGCAAATTAATGAAAAGTAGTGTTTCACATGGAGTCTCTCAGAATAGTTTTGAAAAAAATTTTGTAAATTCACGTGGTGAATTAAAATAAATACCCCCACGCTTTTTTGTAGACATTGCTTAATTCGCGCATGACAATCGTGAAGCTCAAGAGAACGATGTAGGTAAATTGCAGAAATTTTACGTGAAATCATTAAACAACTCGTTTAAGCATACACGCTCATTTCCAGGCTCTCCTCTTCAAGAAGTATCTCTACTCACGTTCGCTTCTGGCCGTTACGCAATAACTCTTGTGCCAACCTTTCCGAAATAGGAAAAATTCCAATTTTTTTGTAATACTACTCTATGAGTAACGAAAAACGAGATGATTAACGAAATGCAAAAAGCACTCAAAAATCAAACTTTAGATGATCATAACTTTATGCAGCATATACAATATTTACTGCGAAAATAATGTATCTTATTAGCTTCTAACAAAAAGAAAAACAGAACTTTGAGAGATTACTCCCTTTAATCAACCTCTAAAGTAAGGCGGCGGCGTACCTTGAGAGAAGTGGCCATTGTATCCAGCATCCGCTTGTTGAACTCCGCTGCATCGTTGCCGCACACCGCGGCCACCGTGCGCTTTGAGCACTCCAGAAAATCATGGAACGAACTGAAAGATGTCAGAAAGATATCAGAAGACGGACAGAAATCTTTCATACCTGCAAATATTCTACCTTCAAGTAATAATTAGTTCTTAACTGTAATTGAAATATGAACCGGGAATTTTTTTTTTCACTTCTATCTTACAGTATAGGAAGACGAAATAGTGGAATCGCCTCAACAAAATAATATCAAACTGTCGTAAAATCCGTAATCAAGAATGTTTTCCGACACATCTTTGAAGTCACGTTAGATATATTAGCGTTGTTCCAAAGACTGAAGATTGGTCCAGGTGGAGAAGATTTCATTCATATTTTTCCGAAAATCGATATGGATGGATGGGATGGATGGAGTCACGCCTAATTCAAAGTAGAAGCTAAAGCTTCTGCTTTTGACCAGAAAATTGGTTAATATGGAAGTTCTAGTTGTGCCGTTCAGAAGAGCATTAAGATATTTTCTCTCTTTTTTGGTACTTCGCATGAAGCTCCTATGGTGTTTTCAACATTTTCTGAAACACTTTATTTGACATTTGTTTGGTCTAAGAGAAGAAAGTTAATTTTTAAGTATGATATTGTTCCAATTTTCTTTAAAACCTTATCACAATTTAAATATTGCAAAAATCTTTATAATTTAAATCACTAAGCGCTTTCATTTGGAAAGGAAGCTAACCTTTTCACGCAACTAAATCTCGTGACTTTTGCTTTAAAAGAAAGAAACTGCCATTGTAGTTTTATAGCTTACTATTATAAACAGGTTTTATAACAAACATTAAATCATGCATTATATTAATTTTATGATAATATAAAAAATAATAGAATTCATGTTTATCTTCTGTGATTATTTTCATTATTTCATTTTCTGAGCGGTAGACTATCTATTAAAAGCATTAAACATTTCTTTTTCAAGAAAACTGCCAATATAAGGCGGGACTTCAAAACGCGGTATATTTGCTTCTTGAAGTCCAAGAGCGTTTTTAAATAAAAAATATTAATGGGGTAGTCTTTAAGTGTATCGTTTGACACAAGAGTCATTTAACAAAAAATAATCGATTGTAATTATATGAGGTTCATTATGTTTTAAGGTAAGGTGAACGCAGAATTTTTTGCACATTTCCCTACAACATACCTCAACTGATCTTGGTAAATTTAAAACATTTTCATATTTTCAGAAAAGTGTTGAATTAGGTGTTTACAGTGAATAATAATTGTATTGTTTCAGAATGTGCAAACCTCCCTCTTTTCATTAGCCTTCGATACTTAATTCCGTACTACGTAACAATGTTTTTCAGGCTTTTTATTTTCCATCTAGTGAACATGTGTAACTTTTCTAGCTTATCTACAGCTACGTCCCACACATCTACTTTTTGAAATGCAACCGTTCAGGTCAAATTTTTTGTAATATGTAGCAATTTTCGAAGACATTTTTCAACCATATTGATTCTTGAGACATTGATATTTTCTGCGTAACTTCATTTCTAGATTTTTATACGATATTTTGTAATCTGATTTATTATCGGATAACACAGAAACTGAAAATTTCCGCTATGCCGCGGCAATTGAAATGCTTAAGTACTAAATGCAAACATTTCGCGACATTACATATATATCCAGCTTCTCTCCAACGATATTTTGTCAACAAAGTGATCTGCTTTTTCCTTGTATAAGCTTTATTGTTTTGGTAGCATGAACTGCAAGTTTATTAGCGACCATTTATTATTGCTATTATTCTATTATTATTATTATTATTATTATTATTATTATTATTATTATTATTATTATTATTATTATTTCTTACAATGTATGAAATAATTTTATAACCTTTAAAAATTTGAAGACATTAAATCAGTGATGTTTCAGTTAGTAATGTAGAAAGACAATTTGAAAGTGAATTTGTCGTACGTCTCTGTAAACACACTTATATTCATATTCGCACTTAAATATATAATCCCCAACTACTCTTTCATAAAAGTTCATCAAAATCTTATGTAATGTTTGACAACTAAAAATGCTCAATAATAGCAGTAGAAACATTCGCAGATTTATGTATATTGTTTTGGCCATTTTAAGATTTAGAAAAAATATCTAATCGACTATGAAAGTAATTCTGTGGGATGCTGATCTTCAAATCTCGGTATTATCCTACAATAGAAAATAAATCTTTTTTAATGATCTGTTCATAACATTTACTTCTAGCAAAAAATGTTTATAGCAAGATCATTTTTTCACTTTAAGCAGCAACACTAGTACGTGTGGAACGCGCGAGATGCGACAATGTCCTCTAATGACTTTCCCATTCTAGAATCGTTTCAAACTTTTGGCTGCATCTGAAATCCCGTGGGCAACCAAAACCCCATTTGCGGAAGAAAGATGCTCATCTGATTGAGAGCCCTGCGGCCGGCTCGACCCCTAATCGGCTCGGAGCGTCCGCCTGGGAGCGCATGCCCGCCGCTAGGACCGCCCTCGCACCACTACACATCGCGTCAAGGGCCATTCACAACGAAAAACGATACGTACACCTGAGCAAATTAACATGGACTCTTAACATAACCTCGTATTTCCCATCCACAACGACCGAGAACGTAAACTGAACAAAGCCAGTCATGGATATCGGTAAAATAAACATTCGGCACAGAAATTCTAAAATCGAACGTACATGAAGTAAAATGAACGCGAATGTGCTAAATGATAGATTATGGTCATGATGATAATTATTTCGTATATCATGAGCGGCATGACTGGTGAGCAATAATGGCTATTGGTGAGCAATAATAACTATGAACGACAATTCCTACTCTCCGTGCGTTCGATTCTGTCCGTTCATGACCTGTAGTTCCTAAATAGTTGGCTACCATAAGTACTAGTTTCATTATTTCCCTACAACTTCAAAAACATCTGAACCACTTTGGAAAGTTATTTTTTATCAATTATTTGTGGGGTAACGAAAGTCTTCTTCAATCGACAACGGTGCGTAATAATTATTTATGAGATCCTCCTGTACCTACGACACAACGTCGGAAATTTAACCCACGTGAAAAATAATTTGATATGAGAGATCAATATTCCAAACCAATTCAGTATCAATTCAATTTTCGAAAGCAAATGCTATAAGAATTATTTTTCAAAGGGGGGTACTTACTATATATTTCGAATGAATGAGAAGTTTAGGAAATTTGATGTGAAACAATTGGAAAAACTCTTTGAAAATGTTTCCCAATTTTTCGTAAGTAGTCTACTTTCTGGGACTCACCAGCAAATTCTGTGCACGGCGTCGTGGCTGCGAGCGTTTTTCTGGATATCTGCCAGTGTCTCGGAGTACTTCGCTTCACAATCTTCTTCTTTGTTCATATCTTTGAAGCAACGGGCGTATTTCAAAAATTCTGCGGGCAGAAAAAATAGTTTTTAACAGAACTGTATTATCTACGTCTGCATTAAGTACTCCCTTTCAGTTTGCGGCTACAATAACCTCCCCCCTGCAAACAACGATCGGCGGAAAGAGACGTCTGGTTATTATCTGTTACCTGAAGAATATCAATATCAATAACTTGTAAAAAATTAATTTTTTAAATCCATTTTGTCATTCGAAAATTATATTTTACTTCCCACTCTACACGAGAGAATATTCGAAAAAACTGGAAGAAAATTTTCAACTACTGTAACATTTCACCATTTTCAATTTACCGTTTCAAGTAAAATTTAAGTAGCATCCATAACATGAAATCTAAGAGTTACATCCGACACGGAAACAGAAAAATATTCTACTTTCGAAAAGAGCAATCCCGTTCAATAGCCTCTGCAAAGAACAATTAAATTACCATGTGATTCCCCTAATTTTCTCCACATACCTTGCTGATACGTATCGTTATGGCACAACTCCGTCATCACTACAATGGTGCCATTATAGAGAACGTTGAAGGTCATTTGGACGTCCGGGGTCATACAACGTTTTGTCTTCCTGTCGATACAATCCAAGTGCTGCCTGATGTCTCTGGAACATTAATTTTTCACAGTTCAATTGAAATCTCGGATGAAAATGTCAGCAACTAGGAAAATCCTTACTAAGTATATAAGTTTGAAAGAAAATTAATTTAATGGAGACGTTCATAAGCGCTAACTTAACTAAAAACTCTAAAAAATTACATAAAATTATTTAAATGTTTCATATTGAGGAATAAAAAGCATTAAGAAAAATCTCTAGCTTCAATATTTAAGGTTTAGGGCAGATCCCAAAATATTCGAATTTGAATCATGTCACGATGTAATTCAAATCTCCGCAAAAACGACTAATAGTTTCAGTGTTCATAAAATATTGTAAACTTATAATATTGAGGAGAGTTAACAATGAAAAATCACTCATTCTAATAATTTAGTTGGTGCAGGGTGCCAAAATGGGTCGTCAGCGAAATCGATAAGGAAGTATTAATTTTGGTGACAATCTTACTGTTAACAGACCTATAGACTGATAAGACGTTTTGCAAAAAACAACTTTGTTGGTACGAGGAACACGTTCTTGTGTCTAAATATGAACCTTGTTTCTGACAGCATTAAGTAGTTTTCTCAATACGTAAAACAAAAACAAAAAATACCAGAATAAGTACAAATTGAAAAAAAATGCTAAAACAAGAAAGGTCTTTTTTCTACAACATTCAAACTGACGCGTACGTTATAAGCATTTCGTTAAACTCGGTAACGATATTTCGGTAGATTTCATAGCGAAGAGTAATTGATTTTTTTCTGCAAGGAATATTTTGGATTTTACAGTATCAAGAAGGATCGATGCCTAATTCAGGGAGAGGCTTTGGCAATCTAACGCCTTCACTCACTACGTTCTCCCTGGCGAAAAAAAAGGGTTTCAGAATCCTTCATGAAGAGAAAATGAATACCAAACACTTACGGGCACAAGCGGTCCATGTCCTCCTTGCTGGTCACGGCGTTCAGCTCCCGCTTGTCAGAAGAGAGCATGTCCAGGGGGTCTTTGCAATCTATCATCTCCTTGCAGCTCTGGTCCAAGTGCTCGAACGGGTCCTGGGCAAGGGCCATAACCCAAACTGCAAAAGACCACCATTCTGTATTACAATCGAGAAGTACATTTGCAAGCAGAAAAATGCAGACACATGAAAAGCAAAACCTTGATTCTGGATACAACAACAACAACAACAACAACAACAACAACAACAACAACAACAACAATGCTTAATCCGTAAGTTTTTGGTTTCTGTAGGATAAAAGTCTACAGCTGCCGAGAAGTCTACCACTGCTTCAAACTTGCAAATACTTTTCGAACAAACAATAACAACAAACTAACAAGCAAACATGTGTGAAGAAGGTCCGCTTTAGTAACTTATCTTTCTTCAGGTGAACCAACCGTATTCTAAACAGTCGACGTTCAATTTGTTTTATGTATACTAGAACCACTAAACGAAGGTTGGCACCACGCAAGTTTTTTTTTAAAACAAGAATCAATAGTTGCCTATCTGAAAATACAAAGTAAAATATGAAACTTTTACTGGTTCGCAGGTGTTTCAAAATCATCATCCGGTTTCAGAATTGATTCAGACACTGATTTCAGAATCATTCCAGATTAACTTACACCGCAAATGCAAATGATTTAGTATATAGTTTCGGAGAATTCAGTTCATGACACTAACAAGGTATTCCATGTAATCTGGACTACTGTCAAAATGTCGACGAAATAGACGTCATGAATTTCATTTTATTTCCAATATGGAAATGCTGGATATTCGAGTGGTGATTTTGTTTCTCATTAACTTCATAAGGAGAAAGAGAGCAAGAATGACCACAATTCCAGTCGCCGAAGTGACTATAAGGTTTTAAAGATCGGCGCTTTTAACAAAGTATCGAGACTCTCCAGTGTATCACCAACTGCCGCCACACTTCGCCGCAACATTACCCATTCTCATTTATCATATCGATGTCCGATCAATTTCTATTATCCCAATTACACGTCGACCCCCCTTCATCAGCGTCTGCGAGCGCTGCGGTGCAGGGGAAGGGCTCGCGGCACCAGGGCGAACGGGAGGGAGCAACGAGTGAAGAACGGGCAGGAAAGGTCCAGGGCGATGGAGCGAATCCAAGCGTCCCCCAAAGCTAGCAGGTATCAGAAGTGGGAATCTGATTGGCGTGAAATGAGGAGAGGGGGGGAGTTTGAGCAGACGTAGCCGCGGGCAAGGCGGAGAGGCGGCGCGCAGAGGCTGGAAGGCGGATCGGCGAGGAAGAAGGGGAAGAGGCTAGGGACCGAAAGGAGGAAGGGGCGCGGTCAAGGACACGAAGGAGGCGGCGAACGGTGGGTGGTGGGTGGAGGACAGGAACCACGCGTAGCGGGCGGTGACCGCGGGTCTCGGCCGAAGGAGGGGGGAGGGGCGACAGGAAGCGAGCCTCCCGTTAACAAACCGCGGAGCCGCCGATTAATATTCATGATCGCAGCCGCAGCCGCCGCCGCCGCGATAGAATAAGGGCGGGGGCGCGCGCTCCCCACGGCCCGAGGGGGAGGGGGGCGGTGGGAGCGGCTCCCCCCGGTGGGCGGCGGCCGGGGCTTAGGCACCCTTGCGTCACCGCCCGCGCCCTCCGGTGTGCCCTCCCGCGACCGACAAGGGGCTTAGGGCGCCGCCGCCTTCGCCCTGGACCCTCTTGCAGGCCAGGGATCAGCAAGGGCTCCTCCCGAGGCCAGCTGCATCAATTGAGGCGCTCGCCGGCGCCGCGCCCAAGGACAACCGTTTTCTCGCAACGCCAGGGCTAGGAGCGAGACACATTTGACCCTCCCATTATTTTCTTTCCACAACACTCCGTGGATGGGCATTTCTTTACTGCACCATTTGCTTTATTCATTGTCAAACAACAGTAAAGTATGACTAGTAACGAGTTCATTATTTTATAACCATTTTATGATTTAGTAAAGTTTGTTTTATAGATGTTTACTTTGTATGCACTGTAAGAATGGACAATGCCACTGAGATACTGGTGGTTTAAAAACATCTACTTTAAGTGTACATTCAATCGTTACAGAAAGAACTGATTTCTTAAAAAAAATCTTTTGTGACGTACGCAGTACTCTAAAGTATCGAAAATTATAATATTCTCATGAAAGATACAGATAAAATTACAGTGCTGTACACGAAATGGCATTACAAAATCAGAAACAAATACGTACTACTCGTACCAAGTACGTATAACAAAGGCGAATGAACTTTTTTTTACATATTCATTTCCCGAAAGAATGTTGAACTAGGCGGCATCACTCGGTTACGGTATGTTTGTTTCAATGACGCAAAATTTAAAAATGCGTAATAGTGCATTTTTTATGGCTGCTTGACTTCTAATGGTATCTCCCCAAAATCTAATACGAATTAGTTTAGCTGTTTGTTCGTAATCAAAATAAATTTATTACTTCTTTGCTCATAACCACTTACAGCAAATAATACCTCAATACTAAAACAGCGTTGATCCATCCATGTAAATAACGAAACTTAATGTGTTTCGTGACATTTTACTTGAGTAAAGCAGTTAATTATGGCACACAAGTTGTTTGTTCACTGTCGCTCGTCGCGCCGTCACAAATTATCACGGTCTTGACAATGTTTGACCTTAAAAGCATCATCGGTTTAACAAGCAGCGATAATCGAAATAGAGAATGTATCGACAGAAAAAAAATTGTAGGATATATATAGAGTTTTAATGCGAGCATTTTCATGCACCGTTGCATTAACGCAGGAAGACCTGCACGCAGCCCGACGAAGGACGCCACTTGCGCGCGACGGCAGAGGGGTTCATGCGCAGAAAAGGGTCGGCAGAGCAGGGGTGGGCGCGGGGGCGGGAAATGCATAAACGTGCGTGGGGCGCGGCAGGGTGGGGAACAGGGACAGGGACGGGGACGGGGAGTGGAGAGGGCCCCTGCGATTTGTTAGCTGCCATCGGCAACTCGGGTGCACGGTTGCGCTGCCGGTAAACAAACCGGGTCCCCGGAGATGGGAGGCCCCACTCGAAGCGCCCGTAATCGGCGGGGCGGGCGTCAATCCCTGCGCGGCCTATTGTGACAGGGCGCGCTCGTTATTTCTCCTTAGCGGCGGGCGGCGGCCAGGGCGCCTGCGAGCGCACGCTCTGCTGATTCCATTTGTCCGCGTACGAGCACGTTCGCGTTCGGATTTTTCACTCTGGCTGAATTATCGAGAACTACGCTCTTCCTATAGTGGTGCCCTGTTGACTCTCACCAAGCCGAACTAACGTTAACTACACAGATTCACGTCTACCGGGTAGGACGTGAGAGAAATTTCCGTAGTATCTGGCGGGCGTTGCTGTGTTTTTCATATTAATAAATTTTCTAGCAATAGAAAATTTTCTAGCAATAGAAAATTTTTAACGGAAGCCGTCAATTAAATACGGTTTAATAACTAGCAAGTATAAAGCTTCGGATCCAGACTAAAACCGAGTCGAATTGATTTTAATCAATTTGGACTATTGGGAAACATTTTCCACACATCATTTCTCGACAAAACAATATCCTTAATTCACACTGTTGATTATTAATCTGTGATCTATTTTTGAAAATATCAAAATCGAAAATAATGGATGCAAGAGGGGGGTTAAATAAAAATTGAAAAAGTGAACTTACGTTTTTCAGAAGTATTGGACGTGAATGATATTGGTTATGATATTGGAAGTGAATGATTTGGTAATTTCAACTAGTATTGTCTAATCTATAATGGCTGCCTAAAAATAATGCATTGGTTTCCAAAAATCACTGATTTAATACCAAATAAATAATTTCCAAAAATGTAGTAAATAAATAGGAAGGTGTCTTGCCATTGAATCCAAGAAAGGAATCGAAAGAAAAGGTTTTATCATTCTAACGGGTAACGTTTTTGCCTGTGCCCATCCTGACATAATTTTAGATTTACAACGGATCTCCTCGACGTTACACATCCTGGTCACGGGGTCGCGATTCCCGGAAAATAGATCACCTTATCAAATTAAACGATTTTTCCAAAATTAAAAATATTATGAGTAATAGCTCGACGATATTTTACTTCTCCCGCTAATAGGTATTTTCGAGCGAAAAATGCAGTTGGAAATAATGAACTGTATCGACGTTATTTGGGGTGATATATCGTGGGTTACCCAGGAAAGGAATGCAATTTATTTACTACAATGCCATTTTTGGTGTCTATTGCGAAAATAAATATTTGAGAAAGGAATGATTAATTTAGTTCTAAGTAATTTAACAGTATTCGTATTTATTTAGATTAAACGCAAGTCTATACTTTTCAACTTTAACAACAAGCTTAAACCTCTGACATCGTTTGAAATTCGTCGAAAAATTCAAAGCGCAGCTGGCGTGACATTTTATTTCAAATTTCCAAGTAAATAGTAGATTACATACTTGAATTGAGAAAACAATGTAGTACTTCGTTTATTGTACTCTTTAATAACGATAATTGTTATAAATTATATTTACAAAAACAATATGAACATTTTGAATTGTTATGTTTAAATGGTCTCCATACATTCCAGAATACCTATTTAAATAAATCAAAATGGTGAACTCATTATTTTCAAAGGCGTATCGCTTTTTTCCGCTGACCTCTGTTGACGCATTCAACACAATAGATGGCTACGTTTGACTGGTTGCAGAATATCACGTATAAATGCAAGTTTCATCCAAGTGATTTAACAGCATATCTCAGCATAGCAATACCATAGCACTACAACACAGAAAAATATCCCCATTGAAACACTTCCATTGACGCACCGTTTTCGTCATTCCATGACAGTGCGCTGCCGATTCTCCACAAGGCTCGCCCACAACTGCAATTCCTCGTACGCTGATAGCACTTCTCCCCTATAGCCCTTCTCAAACGAAGTTTTAGATTGTTTTTGGCTACAAAATAAATACATAAATTCCTGCGTCTGTCAGTTTTCTTTTAGCATCGTTTTTACAAATGTGAATCACCCCGTAAAACATTCTTATCTCTCGCTATTTCACAATTAGTGTACGAACATCTACTCACTTTCCATGTAATCGCAAAAATTTCCGTGTACAGATCTGTTTAAA